CCCAGTGCGAGGAGCACCTGCAGGAGAGTGCGGTGGGGTAAGCAGCTGTGCCACGGACACAACACAGCAGCCTCTTCTGCTGCCCCCATCCTGCCCTGCAGACAGTCCCTTCTCTAAGCCATCTGCTTTGCTTCTGAGCATGGAAGTCTGAGAACTCTGAGGACTGTGAGGCTCCTGTCAGACCACTGGAGGCTACGCCCAGCACTTAAAAACACAGGACCAGGGCTGAAGCTCAGCAGCACAGCACCTGCCGGGTAGGCATAAGGTCCTGAGTTTGATTCCCAGTAAAAAAAAAAATCAAAAAAAAAAAATCTACACAAATAGAGCTTCATCATATATCCACAGCTTTCAAGTGGGTGCACAGGTAGCACATACCTGTAATCTCAGCACTCAGGAGGCTGAGGCAGGAAGATTGCTGTGAGTTTGTGACCAGCCTGTGCTACATGGTGAGTTTAAGGCCAGCCTGATACACAGCAAAACACTGTCTCAAAAAGAAAGAAGAAAGAAAGAAAGAAAGAAAGAAAGAAAGAAAGAAAGAAAGAAAGAAAGAAAGAAAGAAAACCATAGCTCCACGAGGCATCGGCACTTGCAAGGGTGTGGGGGGTAGCGAGGTAGGGGGTGTTCTCACCGGGCTCTGGGCCACACATCTGTACCTTACACACAGTGATGAGCACAGGGTACTGAGGTGGCCCCCTCTGGGGCTCGTTCTTTTCTAGCAGCTGCCTAATGAACTTCTCGATGGCCTTCTCTGACATGCCACACTGATGGCCGGTCTGTCGCACCCATTCAACAGTCTCTGAGAGTTTGTCATAAATGCTGAGCTCGTTAGCAGCAAAATCCATGTCTTCCAATATGTAATCCCTGTGGTAGAGAAAATGAAGATGAAAGGAAAGAGCCTTGTCAAAGTTCCTCCTCCTCCAAGCTCCCTCCTGTGATGCTCTAACGGAAGATACCAGGTCAGCATTTGAAGACAGATACTTTTTTTTTTTTTTTCTTAAAGAAGACAGATACTTTAAACTCCGTAAGTACCGCTGAGACAATGGCAAACTGCCACATGTACAAGGTTTTTTAACTATTATTTATTTTGTTTTGAGATGTTATTCAGGTTGGTACCAAACTTGGGAGGACAAATGATTTTTCTGCCTCAGCCTCCAGAGCAGCTGAAAGCACGGGGCATGGATGCTGGGCCACCTCTGTAGGCTTACACACCTGCCACAGCTCCACACCTGCAGGGCTGGCCAGGAGCACAGAAGGCCCCAAGTGGGACTGGGATTTCTGCAAACAATCACAGATTTGCTATTGTTTTTTTTTTTTGCGGAACCGGGGATTGAACTCAGGTACTTGCGTTTGCCAGGGAAGCGCTTATTCTATTGAGCCATCTCCCCGGCCCC